CATCCGATGGGCCACCGATGCAGTGCTTCCGTTGTCGTTCGGGCACTTCGGCACTGGCGTAACGTGGGTCGCGGCCGGGGTCCGGGGGGAATGGGGTCAGCCAGAATCATCGAGAGCGTCATAGGTCCCAGCCGAGCAGCCGGTCTAGGAAGTAAGGGGCAGTTAGCCTTGGTAATTTGTCTGCTTTGTCGGCCCTTATTTCCTAGCACCAGCGATATATTCTTGCGTATTTCTTCATCGCTGTGATCTACGTGCAAGCCTACAGACTAAACACGGAGATCTGTTCCGCAAAGCTACAAGAAGTCGTTTCACGTAGTCTGAACTGCCCACCACCTCGAATTACCACATTTAGACTTTGCCCTTCGTTATCACAAGAAATTTTCTGCCTCAATCGACATGGCACCACCAGAAGAGTTTTGCCAGACGCCAAACAAGCCCTTCAATGTGGCTGTTGTGGGTGGTGGTATTGCGGGCTTGACCTTGACCCTTCAACTCCTCCAGAACAGAATACCGACGACGCTATACGAACAGGCGCCAAAGTTCGGTGAGATCGGTGCAGGCGTGTCTTTCGGTCCCAATGCGCTAAGGGCTATGTCCTTGATCTCACCCCACGTGCGGCAAGCTTTCGAGAACCAGGCAACACACAACGAATCAGAAGACCACCAGGACGTATGGTTCGACTTCAGGTACGGCCAGACTTGTAACGACAAGAACAAAGAGGGAGACCTGATCTATCGGCAAAAATGTGAAACCGGTCAGACTGGTATTCACAGGGCACACTTCTTGGACGAGTTGGTCAAATTACTGCCCGACGGAGTTGCCGTATTCGGCAAGAGGGCAGAAAAGTACGAGGATGACGGGAAAAGCGTTCTGCTCACTTTCCAAGATGGCACGACCGCTCGCCACGACGCTGTCATCGCCTGTGACGGTATCAAGTCTAGATTGAGGAGTTTGATGCTCGGCGAGGATCACCCGGCATCCAAAGCTGTTTTCTCTGGAAAGTATGCCTACCGAGGTCTTATTCCCATGGAGGAGGCGGAGAAGCTTCTGGGCGAGGAATTGGCAAAAAACGCCCAGATGTACTTTGGCAGAAATGGCCACATCTTGACCTTTTCTGTCGCAAAGGGTAAAATCATGAACGGTGAGCCAAGTATTCTTCCACCTTCAGTCTTGTGACAATGGTTAATAAGGAATTTAGTGGTGGCCTTCGCCAGTGCTAAGGAGTGGAAGTCGGACAAGTGGGTTGTCTCTGTAGAGAAGGAGGACATGATCCGCGACTTCGAAGGCTGGGGCCAGAAATCCAGACAAATTATCCAGCTTATGCAGAAGCCAGACGTATGGGCACTATTTGAGCACCCGCCCAGTCCGACGTACTTCGAGGGGCGACTCTGCCTACTGGGAGACGCCGCTCACGCATCCACGCCTCACAAGGGATCCGGCGCGGGCATGGCGATTGAAGATGCGTACATCCTCGGCAACCTGCTGGGCTCTATCTCTGATGCCAGTCAACTTGAGGCAGCTTTCTCGACGTATGACAAGACGCGAAGAGAGAGATCCCAGCAACTTGTCGTCGACAGCCACGAGACTGGTCAGCTGTACGACTTGGAGTTCAGCGAGGACTCTGAGTGGGTTGCTGACAATCTGTCAAAGCGAATGGAGTGGATTTGGAAGTACGACTTGACTGATGAGTTGGAGAGAGGGAAGAGAGAGTTGACGAAGGAAGGGTCCGCTGAGACAAGGGCGCAGCTTTGAGCATGGCGTTCAGGGGTAAGGCTTCATTAGCGAGTAGAGCGAAAATGTAGTTATCGGCTATTCCACCGTCCATATTATTTTCGATTACAATGCCTAAGTATCTTAACTAATTAGAGATTTCTGTTGAATTACAATTATCCGGTGAGCAAGTGTTTGCTACCATCTTCTCGCAGACAGCACTCTGCTGCCTACTCTTCAACCGGACGTTCTCCCGCAAGCAACGTCTCCTGGATTCTTTGAGACGGTAGCCATCTTTCTGCAGGAATGAACCACCAAGAAAGAATAGCGAAGATTGTGACGATGCCCATGATGACCGGGGCATAGTTGAGTGTCGATGCCTCAACCGGAAAAGCATAGGGCGAGAACAGCACAGCAACGACCCAGCCGTTCCACAAGACAGCAATTGCCTGGAAAGGCTTGCTCAGGCGTCCGAGACTCCAAGCGGGCTTCGGGAATTGCTTTGGTGTCAGGAAAAGGCGACAAAGGCAGATCAGACCGTAAGCTGCGGCTGAAGGAACACCCGCAGCCGAGACGAGGGAAGTAAAGGCCACTGATGACGGAAGAATCGTGCAGGTGATGACAGAGGCCACACCCCAGACGACCAAGACGGCGTTTCGGGGTTGGCCATCGACAACTTTGGCAACCCAAGGAGACCAAGGGAGAACTCCGTCTCGTGCCACGGCGAACACCAGACGCGACGCCGCCAGAATTGCAATCGCAGTGTTCTAAGCGAGGGTCAGCACGTTATTCAATAGACACGGGAATAAGGTACGAGAAAAGACAAAGATGACTTACAAACCACAGTGCGACAATGCAAACGATGTTCATGAAAATGTGGCCTCCCTCTCCGAGAATGGCTGCATACAATGGTACAAATGGCTGGGCGCCGCCAAAAGAGAAAAGGGTGTCCGCATCAGGCTGTGTCAAATTCCGTTAGCAGGGTTCGTTCCTGCGCTGCATTTGAGAAGAGCATAAACTTACGACGCAGAACAGAAATAATATCACGACAACAAAGCCGCCAATCCCGCTGACCACGGTACTCCAAAAGATGCCGCGAGCGGCAGCGACGCTTGCATTCTTGGTCTCCTCCGCAACGTGCCCCGACGCGTCGAATCCGATGAGAATACCGGCAGTAGCAAGATACGAGAGACACCAATTCCAACCGGCCGGAGCGCCGGTCCCGTTGTAGGTGGTCATGAAAGCATCATGGGCAGATCGGAAGCCGTACTCGCTCTTGCTTGTCGCGACCGGTAGCCAGACCATGTTTAGAACAAAGTCCAGCAACACGAACCCGGTCGACAAGTAGAAGATCCATTTAAAGTAGCGGGCTGTGCTTTTGTTAGCTTGTCAATGATGGCACATAGGAGTCTAGGTGGTCTCACGAGGCAGGAGGTTCCAGATGGCAGCCAAGGCCAGCATGACCTCTGTAGTGATCCATTGAACAGCGCGAAATTTGACGCTTGAGGAGTCAGAAGGAAAGTCGAGATTGAAGACAACAATCTCCTGTTGCAAAGTCAGAGACTGTTACAGAGAAGTCAGTTCTTTGTGCCATCACTTACCGAAAGCATGTAGTTCACAGCGGCTTGTGTGTTGCCTGAGAGGGATCAGCGACTCAGGTTGGGAAGATGCCTCAGAAGTTGTTGTCAACTTACTCGCACAGAAAGTTGTCCATGCTGTGGTACTCCACCATGCAACGATGAAGCCGAAGAATCTGCCAAATCGGGGTCCGCCAGCTTCAGCAGCCCATAGGTAGATGGATCCCGCCAAGGGTAGAGAGGAGCAGATCTCTGCAATGACTGCGGCAGTGATGAAGGTAAAGACGCAAGTTACGATGAAACTCGTCCTATCTGAATGTTAGGCGTTGCAAATGCACATCGGTGAGTGCAGACACTAGCACTTACCAGTAAGCCAGGTTACCTCCAGCAGCAATGCCGGTAGAGAATGTCACTCGGACTCCACCAATGAAGTAGAGGGCAGCTAAACGAGATCAGAAATGACGAAGAGAACCAGCAGACTGGATACGGCGTACCGAACGTTGTCGCAAAGTTGTGGAACGTATTGAATGTCCGGTGCAGCACCTAGAAGAATGAGTTATTTGTGTGAGATGGGCTGACTTTTGAAATCGTCTGCTCACCGGCTTGTAGCCTAGGTTTTCCTGCCGATTCTGCGGTTAGCTGACTGAAATGCAATGCTTTCATGCTGTGTGTTGCTCACCAAGACCCGGGCATCTTTTGAAGACTCATCTTCTGCGTCGCTCTGGAAGGTGTTCGCGTTCTTGGCGACGCCTTCGTCTTGGCGCTCAGTCGCAGCCATGTTGATGATGTTCTCGATGTTGGTCCAAGCTGAGCGAATTAGCGACGTCGGAGCGAACAAATGCGGATGGAGGGGACGTCGTCTTATGGGAGATGGAGTATTCGGGCCGCCCAGGGGCCGTTGAAAAATCTAATTAGTGGGACGGAAATGTTCGGCTTTTGCGTGTGAAGAAATACGAATCTTCCAATCATTGCCGCATGTGCCAATGGCTGACTTACTTAGTCGCGTGATGTGGGACTGAATGACGGCATCGGTAAATCGTACGAAATAGCCTTAGCAGCAACTTGGTGACACCAAACGAGATGAGTCTTTAGACAGGTCGATGAACAGATAATTTGCTATTAGATGTAGTATAATGTGTGCTTTGAACAACATTACACCCGGACTTGTGGTTTCAAGTCCTCTGCTTGCTCCATGATATACTCTACACTACTAACACATCGCACAATGGGGCGCTGAGTAAGTACATGTAGCATCAGGCCGGGTTTGACAAACGTTGAGAGACGATCACAACCATCCACACACTGAGGGAATGACATACTCCGCCTTTGGCAATGATAGCATCTTTCTCTCTTCACTTACCGCCATATTTCTCTCTTTTTCTTCGGAGGTTGAGATTAGATTGGGATGTCGCCGCGCTCCGCGTGCCCCTGCCAATCAGGTCAACGTAAGCAACCCCGGGTTGACTGCCAGTTGGGGGATGGTACGATAGGTTTCGGGCATCAGGCCCATCACGCAATCGGCACTCAAAGAACGTGACGCATTGGATCACAGGACACGGTCAGTCTTGAGTAGTTCTTCGACGTTCTAGATGCTCAGGGTTCAGTATTCACCGTAGATATGAAATTGAGAAAATTGGGCGAACTTCATTGGCGCCGACATCTTGTGACTCTCACTTCGGAACTCTCTTGGGAAACTGAAGGTTTAATGCTAGAATGGCGATCCTCGTTCTGACTTCGCTGGTTGCTCTATGCATTGTGGCGGTGACAGCGTTCAAGGTATTTATCATCTCAAAGAGCTCAAATCTTCAACCTGATCGGACGATTGACACTCTCCAGACCGTCACCAAAGCTCACGCATCTCCCCTATTTCGTATTCCTAATGCTGGATGGGGAGCAGGCTATTCCAGGTTGATCTGGGCTTTTCGTCAAGAATACCGAGGCAACGTCACCCTTGAACTTCCAAAATTGCATGAGACCCTAGGTAGCTCCGTTTTCCCCCTCAAACCATTGACACGGGTGGCAACTGATTCTATTGTCCTCCTAGGCCCTCTCATCCGAATTGGTCCCAATGAGCTATCATTCTACTCCATCGACATCTACGATACAGTCCATAAAGTCAATAGCGGATTTGTAAAAGATCCCCGAAACTACGGAGAATTCGTCCAAGATGAACATCCCGCACTCTTCTCTATCACGTTCGTTACGACCCTTCTGAAAGAAACGTAGCCTTTCTTTTTATGTTCTAACAGCCCGTAGAGATCCTCAAGAGCATGCCAAGAGGCGGAGAATTCTTGGTCAACTCTTCAGCCGCAGCAATATTGAGAAGCTTGAAGGGTTAATGCTTCATCACATTGATAATTTTGTCTCGGCAGTCGAAAGAAGAAGCGTCTCTTTTGACATAGGCCCTGCCTGCCGCGCTCTTGAGGCAGATATCATATGTGAGACGCCACGGTATGACCCGGCTCTGCGTTCGTCAGCTGACTTCTCAAGCGGATTTCTCATTCGGTGAAGCCTTATCGGCCGTCTCTGCCTGGTCAAAAGGAGAAGAAGTTGCTCTTGTATCAAAGAACGATGAAAAAGCGACATTTTTGCCTCTGGTACGTTTTAGGGTCTTGGAACTTGTGAAGTCTAGACAAAGCTGACCATATACCTAGATGATGAACTTCCCGCTTCTGTACTCAACCTGGGTGAGAGTAGAAGACTTCTTGTGTCATATAGAAGGCTTGCGTACATCCTCTAAAAAGGGACTGCAGCAATACGACGAGGTTCGTTCAAAAGATACGAAACTTGTTAGCGTACTAATTCGAGAAGTGGACGCACAAAGCTTGGGTCCGAAACAAAGATCCAGGCCGAAAGTCACAATTTCCCAATCTGCTCAACGTCATGGTTTCAGCTGGCGTGCCGACTCAGACTGCCCTATCAGAGGCCAAGGAGAACCTGGGACCTGGGACCGACACCACCTCTGCATCCCTCGCCCATATCCTCTATGCCCTTTCCTGGAACCCGACTTATCAGCAGAAGTTGTATAAAGACCTAGCATCCCACGGATTTCCCACGGATTTCAATACTTTAGAAAACATCCCTCGCTTGAGAGCTTGTGTCAAAGAAGGCATTCGTTGGGCTGGTGCATCTGTGGCGATGTTGCCCCGTGTGGTTCCCAAGGGTGGTGTTGAGCTATGTGGAAATTTTGTTCCCGAAGGCGTAAGTCACCACAGTGGCATGTTTAGTGATTCAGTACCATCTCTAACGGTCAATGTGTTCCACAGACTATTGTAACTTCATCACCGGTCTGGTACCTCAGAGACAAGTATGCGTACCCGAATCCAGAGTTGTTTAATCCCTATCGCTGGATAGATGATTACGGCTTGAACACTACAGAGGATGTACTACGAGACAAGTTTTACATTGCATTCTCTAAAGGCGCAAACACTTGTATCGCAAATCAGTAAGTGCCGTGACCCCAAATGGGCATACAGTCACTGACAAGAAAACTCAGCTTTTCGTACCTAGAATTGTACATGAGTGTCGCGAAGATGGTCGCAAACTTTGAAATCAGTCCTGCCAATGAACGACATAGACCTGCGCAGGTTGCAGGACTAAATAATGCAGACTGGCAACCAGTGCAACTTCCAAAGAGAAAGGAATGGGTTTCAGCCGTAGTCACTGAACCCCTGCTGATCAAGACTGTGCCACGAAGACACGTTTAGCTGGCTTCGAGTGTAGTGTGGGGAGTATTCCGGCTCCATCTCGTTGTTGGGGCGGATAGATAGGAATAAAACATATCCGTTACCTGTATCCGTACGCGTCCTCGGTGTTCGTATAATCGCTAGCCCGAAGAGGTATGTGTTCCTTAGCCAATGTTTGCTCGGGGGGGCAACAGGTGTTGGTTGTGCTGCGGGTTTGCAGGTTTGCGTAGCAGGGCCCCGGCCCCAACATGTTCTTTGAACCCTGGCTCGTCACATTGCATGCAGCATTGTACCTTATCATATTCACAATCTGCAAGCATCTTGTGGCTCCAGAGTCGAAGAAAATCCTTTGCCGCGGCCGGGGTTTCGGCAACCTAGTGTCTTGGCTTCGTACAGCGGTTTACGGCCCGTCCCCGGCAATATCTCGTTGGGCGGCTGAATCTCCGAACCTTACACATGCTTACGCACTGCGATACTTGACCTGCTTTCTACTCGAGCGCACGAAAAGTGGGCTTGACAAAGTCTCTAGAGTCTAGACTTTATGGGTTTACGGTAGTACGGTGTACTGTACAGCCTGGCCAACAATGGATCCACAAGCGAGTAGTAGCAAACTCATGTAGGTGGGTTATGGTGACTACAGCTATCCGCAATAATGCATCTCACCCATGAACCGGCATGTTTCACCATATGAGGACGTGTCTTCCTAAAATTTCCGAATGTTTTCCAGAGTAAACGCTTGACATCTGCCCACATGCCGGAAGTACCTAGGAGGACGGCTGGTATTCTCCGTCATTGCAACTACGGCATAGCCGTGGTGTGATCTACCTACCAGCGACAACATACCAGATGTGACATTTGGTTTCTTGGACGGTATTATGATGCGACCCGATGACAAGTTCTTCTTGTCGTATCAGCGTCTCAGATGCATGGTCATAGTAACTTCGAATATGTAGTCCCAGAAGAACATCGCACACCTCACAGCTTTTCCGAGAGGATCCAGTCCCAGATTTTGATTCCGAGTCGAGATCGTCAGACTTCAGGGATGTCTTGGTCAAGATGTTAAGTATGTATCATGGTCAAGTGACGTGATTAATGATGGCCCTTGGACTCTGGTTGATGATTTCCCTTTTATAATCACCAATCATTTATCTCTGATGTTCACGTCCGTACCGTGGTAACGTGTAACTAAGACCACGCCACGTAGTATTATACGGCAATCAAATTTGCCTCTGGATCTCATCCAACCACTGACATCGGTACTTGACACACTCTTTGTAATTTATCAGACAAAATTCAATTCAATCGCTTCAGACTAAAATGTATCTATGCCGAGCTTAATCAGAACACAGAGGGAATCCTAAACTAACACCACTAATGCCAATTTTCCAAACTTTTCCTTGCATATCAAAACAGTCCCAAGGTCAAACAATTCGTTCCTTAATCAAAGTGAATGCGCCACATCTCTCTGGGAGAGCCAGCCGTGAAATCACTGCGGGTGTGCATGGCCAGGATGTTATCGCTGACCAGCAGATCACCCTGTTGCCAGGAGAAGTAGAGGGTGTTTCTTCTGTCGTGGAGGAGGGAGTCAATGACGTTGCAGATCTCGGTGCTCTCGCTGTCGCTCACGCCCTCGATGACCACGTCAGTGGCGTCAAAGGCAGTCTTGGACTGGGGCCAAGGCTCGTGATATCGGATGCAGGGCTCTCCGGTCGTGGGGTGGTCGACGACGAGAGGAAGGCCACCCATCTTGGTAGAGTCGAAGGAGCTAGTCTGGACGCTCCAGGTGAGCTCTCTCAGTCTATCCACAGACAGGTGAGGAGGCAGGTTCTGGAAGAGAAGTCTGGAGGGCGTGAAGAGGGTGAAGCCGGTGTCACTCGGTGAGGGTGTGATGGAGGTGAAAAACTGGAACCTGTTTTCGGTGTGTTAGGGAAAGAAGCTCATGAAGGTTTTCGCTTGACAAGTTCGCCACAGCGGGGATGTAACTTACTTGGGAGGGTTGGGAAGAAGCTTCTCAGTTCCGTCCGCCTGGGGCACTTTGTGGGTCTTGAACAGCCCATCGAAGTGGAATGGCATCCACTCGGCTGACAGAACGTTGTTCAGACCACGGGTATCGGCACCCTGGTCCTTCACCTCCAGGACGAGACCAAACTTCCATGGCAAGGGAGTGCCGAACTCCTCCGACTTCTTGACGAACAAGTCGCGATCCTTGGTCTTGGTGAATCCTCTCATGACAACGGGTGAGTTGACCTCGGACAAAGCGCGGACCTTTTTGGCCTCAACGTCGTGGATGGAGAGCTTCTTGGAGCCGGGGGCCGGGCGGATGAGGAGACCGCAGGGGTACATGGGCTCAAAGACGACGTCCGACTTCCACTGCATCAATTCGCTCTTCTCGCGGAAGTAGCTAGGTCTTCCCTCCTCGTAGACGAGCTCGTACTTGGGGTCGTTCTCGAAATCGGCGCGGGGGCCAGTGGTGATGGCACCGCTCAGGTCGAAGGCGATCGAGCAGTGCCAGGGAGTGGTGTAGTAGGAAGAGGTGGGAAGAGGGCTGATGGAGATCTTGTTCTCGCCGGTGGAGGGGTGAATGGAGAGGCGGATGTGGTCGCGGAAGTTCTCACGGACGGCGCGAGCAAAGGCCTGTGTTTGGAAAGTTAATAGTTGAAAAAAGCTGTTGATATCATGTTGCAACTTACATCACCACGCTGCAGCATCTGCTTGGAGATGTATTCGATGCCAGTCTTGAACTTGGTCTTGGATCGGTCCTCTCCGACGGGGTAGACATGGCGCAAATCGGTCTCGAGGAACTTGATGTATCCGCGATATGTCAGGCAGGTATCTTCGTTCTTGGAGATCTCGGTGGAGGGGTCGTAGTCAGATCGGCCAAAGGTGTTGAGAAGGGCGCGGCGGAAGTTGGTAGCGTTCGCAACATATGTGATCTCCTCAAGCTTGTTAGGGAGGTGAGGAAGGTGAACAAGATCCTGAAGGCGCGAAAAGTCGATGTTGAGCAGGTTCTTCTCGGCAGCAATGTCGCGGAGGGTCTCTCCATATGACCAAACCTCCTTGTCGGGAACACCGAGAAGGTCGTTGTACACAAGACCGTCAGAAATGATGGTCAACTTCGCGCCGGGCTCGTAGATGTCCTTGATTGCAGAGCAGAGACCGTTGAGGTTGGCGAGAGAGAACTCCTCAGCCTTATCCGGCAGACGGCTGAGGACCTTGTCCTTTGTGTTGGGCGACTTGAAAGGGAAAGCAGGAAGGCACATGCGGACCGGGCTCTGTGTCTTGACTTTTCTGTAGATCTGGGAGAGGAAGCCCAGTCTGCCCTCAAGCTGAGCAGGGCAAGTTTCGTGCGGGCGTCTAAGGCGGTAGCGGCAGATGATGTCGAGAATGTCGGCTGCTTTTGAGAGGGTTTCGTCGTCCATCATCTGAGGTGCCACCTTTGAGATGAGCTGAACCTCTGGTGACGGTTGGCGAACCGGTGTTTCTACAAGAGAAGGCATGTCGTTGAATGTGGCTGAAGTAGAGGCGAAGAGGACTGAAAGGGTATGAAGAGGTTAGGGTAATGGAGGCTTGATTAACAAGATAAACGACGATCAAAGTAAGTTTAAGGCTGGCAGATGCAGCTGGGTCTTAATGCAATTTGAGCCTGGTCTAGTAGAGAAAAACCTTCCAAAGTCTCGGGAGACGCAACCGGCTTATATCCAGCTTCCTTTCGTAGCATAGCCTGCCAACGTTGCATCTGCATACAGACTTGCTCGGAGATGACGATCACAGGGAAAGGGTAATGGCAAGGAGCAGCGGGCCAAGTCGCGGCACTGGCCGTGATGGGCTCGGAGCTGCGTCAGGTCACATCTGGCCATCCCCCATATCAAGGCCCATAACGGTCTTATTCCGGTTCTCTTCATCCACAATTCCCGTGGTTGTTCGATACACAATGTCGCCACTAGGGTTCAATAGCAAAACGTCTAGAAGGATGGTAAGATGGTAAGGATTTGCCCACGGAATCAATATGCACCCGGCATCCTGGCCCTGTCGACGGATGTCATACCATGCATGACCTTCTTTTCTTTTCTTTTTTTCGTACTCTATACGGAGTACTCTTGATTGTTTTTCCTAATCTTCACCCGGCTTCCATCGTCGATTGAGTCAGTGCCGCCACCCCACTACCCAGGAACGGCCCCATCAGGATCAGGAAACTCATGCGCTCCATCGGACATGGACCAAGTTTGAAGGGCTGACAGCTAAACGACCCACGTCACGGTGGACACCTGCCTGACATAGCCGGCTGAAGACTCGAAGGAGGAATCAAGTGTGTGGCCACTGGCCAGTGCAAGATCTTAGTTGCAGCCGCGCGGGAGTCGTCAAGGGAAGGTGAAAAGATCCTGGTTTGGATCCTCTGGGAGGCGTACCAGTGTGGGGAGGGTACCACTTGTGTGAAAACAGACAAAGAATCGAGCCACCAACGTCAGGCTAGGCTATTGACAGTCTGGTTCATCCCAGGTTAAGCCGCGGCAGATGGATGGCTGAACCGTTGAACATAGACGTAGACCCCGACTAGTAGGGGGCCAGATTCCGCACCGGCAGGATCCTCCCGCGGCTGTGGGGACAGGGGCCCCCCGAGGAGAGCAAAAACGCGCCTTTCCCGATCGGCTTTCTGGACCGTGACACGATGTCTGGGATGGCATGGCGAAAGATTGGGAGTACCACGGCGCAGATTCCTCACTTGGGCAGGTCTAGCCAGATAGCCGGGATTACAGCTGCATTGCTACATTGGCATGTCGTGGCATGTCACATTAAGATCGTCGGAACAACATTCAGGTTTGTAAGGTCGATTGCTCTTTGCGGAGTGCATCCACAGTCGTGTGTGGTCGATGCGTAGCATTCGATTCCAGGTCAGGAAGAACCCCGGCGCGCTCCGATATCAGACGATTATCCGCGGTATTGCTTCGAGCATCGGTCACACCGGAGGCGGCTCGGCTCAAGGCACGGCGCACCCTTCGGCCGTCGACCGTAAGTAGTCCCGG